ACACTCAGGGATCATTGCTTGGTAAATGGTGCCTAATGCAACTTCGGTCTCATCTCACTCGGGACATGGGTCCCTGGAACGTGGTCATGATGGAGTATTTCTAGAAATGTTTACCAAATGGATTCTGGGAACCCAACACCAGGGGCTCCGTAAGAAAAGCCAAGGAAATGTTCCTACTAGAATCACATACCCAGGAAAAACACTGCACTCCAGACAGGCGTGCCTCATGCAGGGAGAAGCTGGATTGGCATTCCCCAGAAATGGGACATTATGCACACATGTGCATGCACACACATGGACACACACACACACATGGTATCCCGAAAGTCTTGGGGCACTTTTAAACTTTCATGACTTCGAAAGTATGAATGCTACCAACTTACAAAAAGCCCAATTATTTAAGTTTTGTCTATTCTTCTACACTATACTTCCTAGGCTTCTACAGTAATTCTGTGAATTTTGAAGAACATTTTTCATTTTAACTTTTTTCCTTCAGTCAACATTTGCCATGTTCAATCAGAGAGGCTGAAAGGTTTTATCACATATGACATGCTTACAATCCAGACAGCAAATAAGCCACATCTCACAAGAAGCCTTCCGTCAACTAAAATGTTCACATGTTCTACTGTTAAAACTCCATTACTCCTGACTAAGCTGGTAAAACTGGATTTCTTAAAACAAACAAACAAACAAACAAACAAAACTAAAGCACTACTTTTTGTTAATACCAATTCAATTTTATCCTCGTGGATACAGTTCATTCTGCTAAAATCCTTGCGGATCCTTGTTTTCCTACCAGATAATTTCATCCGCACACCAACCGTGTTCTCAAATGGGCATTTCTAGCCACACTAAACTACACGGAATCGAAGGAAGAACCCTACTGGCATGACTCCCAGCGCACAAACACTCCCTCCCTTCGGGGACCTCATGGGCCAATTCTAATAGCGATCTCCTCCAACACAGTGCCATCAATCTATACCTCGGTGCCTCTTGGACAGGACAGTTCTATCAAGTAAAAACACAACCACCTATGTCCTTCAGACATTATATTTTTATCTTATTCAGAAGTATTTCAAGAGAGGTTCTGTCAAACACGCTGCTGACCAATGCATTGCTCATACCATCTCAGGGCACTCTTCCGACCCATCCGGTGAGTGACCCAACCTATGAAAGGCCAACAGAGGGGACAGTCTCGTCACAGCAATCTTGTCTATTCATTCTACTGATTAATACAAAGCTATCACTGCTCAAATCGAAAGACAGGTCAAAACAAACAAATAAAAATGGGTTTACTTGTAACCCAAGCTCAAATAAAATCCAGACAACCTCAAACATCTTTTTGTGGGTTGAACTGTGTCCCACAGAAGATATATTGAACTCCTAACCCTGGTACCTGTGAATGTGACCTCATTTGGAAATAGGGTCTTTGCGGATCTAACCACGTTAAAATGGAGTCATACTGGGTTAGGGTGGACCTTAATCCAATAACTGGTGTCCTTATAAGAACAGGGAAATTTGGACACATAGAGAAGAAGGCCTCGTGAGGTTGGAGGCAGAGACTGGAGTAATGGCGCAGTACTAGCCAAGGGATTCCAAGGACTGCCAACAACCCCCAGGAACTAGGATTATAGCCTAGAAGGATTCTTACCCAGAGCCTTCAGAGGGAGCCCAGATTTTCCCTATACCTTGAGTTTGGACTTTTGGCCTCCAGAACTATTAGAGAATCGATTTCTGTTGTTGGAAGCCACCCAATTCATGGTGCTTTCTTACAGCAGCCTTAGGAAATTCATACAACACCTATGCAAAAATGTGTAAGTTTGAAGTAATGCCTATTAACATCAGAATCAAGAGCACTCGGGAATTGGTAAAAAGAGAGAGTGAGAGATACACTTAGATTCCTGAGCATGTGGCGGGCCCAGCAGGGGTGAGGTACATGGGTGAATAAACTGGCCAAGCAAGTTTGGGGGTGTTGGCTTGAGGCTGGGGGGCAGACGGTGATATTCTGTGACAGGCTCATCACCAAGGAGTTAACTGTCCCCCCGACCCCCCAGCCAGGTGCGAGGTGGGCATTTCTCAACAAAATCCTGTCACTTTTTAATGGCAACAAAAATCACAAATTCGTCAGTTTATCATCAATATATAAGCAAAACTATGTCAAGCTTCCTGTCTCAAGTTGGCATTTTCCTTGCCTATGCTTCATCCTTCTAAATGAGACAGCAGCAGCCCATGCAGGGGAAGGAGCTGTTGGCCTGTCTGTCTCTATATATAGTGCTGTATCCACCATTTTTCGAAGGTGCTAAGACTCCACTGATTGATGACGATATTGCTAAAATGAGTTACATTTTAAGATGGAAAAAGGAAGGCTTTTTTTTTTTTTTTGGTTTTTCTTCTCATGTGAAAATTTAGGGGAGGAAGAATGCTCCCTCACAGTTTCTAATATTGATCTGGCTCTAATGTAGCCCATGAAATATAAGTCAGTAATGGCAGAATTCCTCGTTGGAAAGACCTCATGAGCGGTCTCCAGGAGCTTTCCCAGCAGTAATTAGGGGGATGTATTATTGCTAATCCTGAGCACACTGGGAGCTGGGTTAATTTTGAAAGATAAAATAAAAGTGCTGCCTTGTGGCAAAAGGCCACTTCTTGATGCCATTAAATCAAGCACAGCCCTGCTTGAGTATTAATTCTGAAGATGTCTGAACCCCCCGCTGATACTCCTTTTAGGAAGCTACTATGGAACAGGCCAAATGAAGCCTCAATGTGCAAATACCATTTAGCAAGTACAGATAAGCTGGGATAAATCATCTCAGAGCACTTAAAAAAAGATTCAAATTTTAATACATTAGCACTAGAACAAGCTGTACAAGCAACAGGGAAATTGCAGTTGTCAATGTGTGAATTTAGTCTCAGAGTAAGTTCATCCAAGGAAGTAAAATCTCAATTTAGATTCTTTTTCTACCCCCTTCCCCCAATCCACGTGTTTCTCTCAGGATGGGGGAGGACACTGTTACTCAGCAAATGGATTTCACACCAAGAAACAGTTAGGATATATTCATCAAGGGTAAGAACGTGAAGTTCTCACTTTCCCACTGAAATAGTTTGAAATGGTCTTTCCAAGTGTCAAACTGTATGTGATGGGCAAGGTGTTCTGATGCACGTGTGTGCACCATTATGCATATATGTAGATATCAACCTGTCTATCTGCCTGTATTCTTTTTAATGAGGAAAATTCTAAAGGGAAATCACAATGGATTTTCTGGTATTTTTTTCTGTTGTACTTTCCAGAAAGCCTGTCTGCCTGCTGTCACCAGGGAATAGTGTGAGAGCAGAGCGTAGGGAAGGGAAAGCCCAGCGCAGAGGTCTCACGGTGCGGGGGTGGGGGGGGCGGGAGCTAGGCTGGGGAGAGGCCCCAAGTCTACCTGGAGGCTGGATAGAGGCATTGGCAGCCCCAGGTCAACAGTGCTGATTTGAAACTGAACTGTATTCCAGTTGGAATTTGACAGGTTGTTTTCTATCAGAGCAATCAATGAAACCTTCAGAATGCATCTGTTCTTTCAGACTATTCTATCAGAAGCAGCTATTTTCTTTAAATTGAAAGTCAGGGCAGCTTATTTTTCTCAAAATTGTGCTGTGGGTTCCCTCCTGACTCCTGACATTCTCTAGTTTGACACAAGGGCAAGGCTGTCTCATCCTGTGGAAGGAAGGAGTGGGCAGGGCTCCCCGTGCCTGGTGTATTTGCATAAATCTTTGCCCCCAAAGGGCGTATCAACCAGAGATAAAGATGGAATGTATTTAGAGAAAACTTATTTAGAAAGAAAGAGATACCTTCCAGTTAGGTTCTTTGAACCAAAATAAACTTAAATCTCTTCACATGACACTTCTATCAGATTATCTATCTATCTAACATATTGTATCATATATGTACTTTCATTGGGCATTTGCAATTTTCACAATCGGGGGCGATCTCTTATTCTTACCCCTCCCCACACACCCTAAGTCATTTTTAAATGATGAAATAATCATACTAGGTTTAAATGCATAGAGATGATATGCATCCATATGTATTAATGGAGGCCCTGTATGTGAACATGCATCAGCAGTGGGAGAGTGGGACCCCGACATCACATCACTTATCCTAACCTGTCAGTGCGCAAGTATTTTCCATCCCCTAGGTCAAAAGCTCACTGATTTGTTTCTGCATGCGTTTAAGCAGAAAATTCATTACCACTTCAAAAAGCATTTCCAACTATCTAGTGTCTGCATTGTCCATAAATATGTGATATTCCTCTAATTAAATTAGAAGTAATATGATTAAGGAGCGGTCTCTTCTGTCAGTGCAATAATCTTTCCTGGGATGCTGTTAAGATTCTGAAATGACTTATAGCATCAGAAAAAAAGGTCTTTCTTCAAGTCACAACCTTTCATATTCATTTTGGGAGACACGTCTTTCCCTCTTAATCAACAGTCTCTTCTTCATCTATTACAAACAATCACATTTCAATTCGAATTGAAGGACACTACCCTCCTCCTTTGTGGTCCCTCACAGATGCTAATGACATACAAATTCTGTAGGAATGCCGGGCCACTCTCCCTCCCAGTTAGGAACCACAGGAGGCTCCTGAAAGCTCCACCTAGAAACACACTCAATAATTTTATGATTACAAATCTCTCAACTGCATGTGTTGGCAAAACAGAGAGAATTAAAAATGTAGAAATCTGCATCATGGTTTTCTATAAAACATCAATTTAGTTATTAAGTGGTTATAAATTAACCATTAGTAATTTACTCTTCTGAATGATTTAACCTTTCCAATTATCGTTTCATCTGTTTTCTATATAAAAGAAAATCAAAGAAATTCGAGATATGGAAAAGACATGCTGGGTGAGGATCTGAAACTGATTTGGTAGCTTTGGGGTTGACATAATCTTGGCCTGGTGCGGCTCATTTTGGAAAGCTGCCTCAAATTTTCCTTGGTTTTGAACTTTTTTTTTTTCCTTACCACTTTCATCTAGCAAGAAATCATCCTGGTAACGGAACTTCTCCGGTCCACATGCAATAAAAATGTCATCGTCACCAAAAAAGTCCTGAAGGCACATCACCTACAAGAGAAAAGCATGGCACTCAGCAAGGGGTCAGCAGAACAGCAATTACAACATTGCATCCCCGCAAGTAGACATCTGCATAAAGCCACTTCCCACATCTAATGGACTCAACAGGACAACGTCTCCGAGGAATTTCAAAAGAAGCTTTCCAGCATCTGTTACTAGTAAGAAACATGTTACATTTCAGTTGTGCAGGAAGACGGATAAGGAAAATAGAACCAGTAAACTGTCACACTTATGACTTGACCTATCAAGAGGCAAGAGCCCTTGATTTTCATAATAGAGTGGATGCGGCGACACGTGGGAAAGGAACACCCCTTTATTCATTTGAACATTATATTCCTCAACAGCAATAAATGTGTATGATTTTAGCAACAAATATAGTATACACGCGGTGATCACTCTTACTCGGGGTAACTACTGAAGAAAATTATCTGTATCATAATATAAATATAATGATCTCCTTTAGACCCATTCTACCTCTGGTTGAAACAAAAGAAGAAGTCCTCGTAAAAGGAATAATAGAATAAGTATTTCTGAGATTGAGATACAGAGACTGGGCAACTGTATGCTCACCACTCAAGTTATGCTAAACTTGAAAACTCCTGTGCTTCCTAGCTTCTTGTAGTTATGCAAAAGGAAAGTCTTAAAACCACCTTGGGATATTTATTCAACTCCTCCTCCAATAAGAACTTTAAGAGAGCTAAATGTCGTTTTTCAAGGACATGTGGTCAAAAGGAATAATTTCCAGCATACTGCTCTGTCATTGGATATGTGGTGTAATATTTTGTTCACAACATGTATGATGTCAACAGAAGGCACTGGGAACACTGCTGATTTCTATCTAGTTTCAATTTCCTTTGCTTGAAGCACATCATGAAGCAGCCAACTGAAGGCACCCATTCAGAGTTCTATGAAATAGACTTTCTAATAGAATTTTCCCTTGGATATCTGAGGCCCACAGACAACCCCCCCTGGAGTGGCAGATCCTTTTGGCCTGGGTTTACTATTAGATCCTCCCTCATTTGTTTGCAGTCATCTGCAGGGCGTCTCTGGGGTTCTGCTCTATGTCAATGCTTGGTAGCACTGTCCTGACACATCAAAGGTACTGTAAGACTTAACAGTAGTAATTTGGGAGAACACAGCATTACTTAGAGGCCCCAAATACAGTGATGTGTAGCCTTCACATAGTTTTTCCAAATAAGCTCTCATTTCCAAATAATCGCTTGGCTGAAATTTTAAGAATGACATTTTTAGAATACTTTGATAATAAACATTAAGTGTAAGTGAGGTACATCCATGACATGTTTTGGAAAAGCTTGAAAATATAGGTGATTTAAGACAGACATTGTAGTGATAAAGGAAAATGGACTAAAAATCCTTAAGAGTGGTGTCAGAATCTCCGGTCTTCTGCTTGGGACAAAAACAGGCCCTTTGTGGGCGCCTGGGTGGCTCAGTCGGTTAAGTGGCTGCCTTGGGCTCAGGTCATGATCCCAGGGTCCTGGGATCGAGCACCACATCGGGCTCCATGCTCAGTGGGGACCCTGCTTTTCCCTCTCCTGCTCCCCCTGCTTGTGCTCTCTTTCTCTCTCTCTTTCTCTGTCAAATAAATAAATAAAATCTTTAAAACAAAACAAAATAAAAAAACAGGCCCTTTGCATTCGGAACCCACTCCATTTCACTCCTCCCTTTCTGTCTGATCCCAACTGTGACCCTGTCCATCTTTATCTTCATGAGAACCACCCCACCCAGCCTTCACGATCAGCGGCTGATGTCATCCCAACCAACCCCATACAGGCCACTTTCATCTTACACGTGTAAGTCTTTATTGAGCCTACCATATGCCAATTAGCATGGAGCATATACACACAAAAATGAGTAAAACATGGTCTCTCCCTCAGGCAAAAATGTGAACCATTAACCTTAAAAGGTAGTATTTCTTAGAGTGTGAATGGTTAATAAGTTTTATGTAAAAAAATAAAAGGGGGGGTTCTGTAAGCAAATAGATTTGGTAAATACTGAGTTCATCCAATATAAACAGGCTTCTTTATTTCTGGTCCTTGCAAAACCCTTCACATGCTCATGTACATCACAACTCCAAAGAGGAGAGAGGAAATACAGTATTTCCCACCCTTATTTGATTCTGGAACTCTTTTCCTCACACAGCATCATATGGACTAATGTGTGACGGGGATCCCTTGGGTTCCTCACTGACAGCCAGAGGTGAAAAGAACTCCGGGAACACACAATGGAAAGTAATGATACGCACTCTCCTGGGCAGCCACACTTCTCTGGCTGATAAACATTTATGATGGGCCCGCTCTGAGCTACACTGTGTGCCAAACATGATGACAAGTCTCGAACAAATGAAAAATACCATTTTCCAAAGGAAATTGTCCTTTCATTGCACACATTCCCAATATCTGTATTCTAGAACATCAGACTGCCGACCAGATCACATTCCTCTATGTGTGCGTGTTTTATGCTATTACTACGCAGGCAGATAACTATCATTAAAACTACAGCACGTGATAAGCAGGCTGCCAGTTAACTAACTCCCTTCCATCATATATCCATGACCATCCTCTAAGGCCGAGACTCAAAGAACAGAGCAGCCAATGATCCAGCTTGGACAGTTTAGGTTTAATTCTGTTGGCAAGTGGGAAATGAGACATGATGAACTTTTGATGTTGTTTCCAACTCCAGGATTCCAAGAACGTAAAAGGAATGCAGCGATTGTTAAAGAAAACTAACTGTCATCGCCCAACACACACACACAAAAAAACAGGGAAAAGTCATGTCAGTGCCAAGCAACATATATTCATTTACCTCTCAGTCTTCAGTGACTAAAATCAAAGCATTTGTTGAACTAGTAGAAACTGTAATGTCTTCTGTGCTCTCTGCTCTGGCACCATTTAGCCATTTCCCTGTTCACAACCTCCCACCACAGAAGGTACGTATGGTCAGGAGATCAAATTCAAAGTTATAAAACTGCTCCTTGTTAGAAGCCTTGATAAAACATTTGATAGAAAAGGAGGCTTAAACACAAGGTTACAATAAAGATGGGTTTAGGATAACCTATGCACTTCAATTATCCATGCTTTCACTCTGTGTCATTGATCTGGAGGTGGCTGTAATGTATTCCATCTAACAAAAAAAGAGTAACAGAAGATGTATAACTTTCTTCTGTAAGCCAACATGCCATGAGGATTTTCCTTGGCATTACTCTAATATCAATGGATTACCAATGTTTTGCATAAAGATCTGATTTTATACATCTATACAGTGTTATTCCTTTTTAAATCTGAGGTTCTCAAAATTCAGTGGGATCACCAGCTGAAAAAAAACAAATTCCATTTATGGATTAACATCTCTCAAACCCAGGCCTTTTCCTGTCCGCCTTCTCTTTACCCCCATTACCACAGCGGTCCGGAGCTTATCCCCTTACCTGTGCACATTGGCATTTCCCTCTGGTGGGTTTTCTTACTCCTACCTCTTTCTCTCCAATCCATCCTGTTTAATTCTGCTAATCTATTCTTTCTTTTAAACTTTCAAAATCTCTCTCCATGACTCAGAAAAACATCAATGGCTTATGATCATCAAGTTAAAGTTCATCTTCTGAGTCTGGCATTCCATCTGGTCCCAACCTACTTTTCGAGTCTACAGTAGTCACGCCATATACCTGATACTTAATAAGCATTTATCAGATGGGTGTATGGATGACTGGATGTTTGGATGGATGGATGGGTGGATGAATGGATG